TTCGACTCTTTGTCGTAGAGCCCGATGTCGTACTTTAAGGTGGCGCGTTTTCCAGCTGCCTCCTTCCGAGGTAGCCAAAGTTATAGCTGCAGCATTGTCCACGTAGATGATGCGCTGGGAGGGCCTCACACCGAAGTCCTCCAATAGGGCATCCACAGACTCCATCTGCTGGCAACCATAATGAGCAGCTACCAACTCAGTCTCTGCCGAGCTAGTGGTAACCAACGGTTGCCTTGAGCTCCGCCAAGCTATGGGGCAGGTTCCCCAGAAGGTCACGGCTCCACCATGACTCTTGTCCCCATCTGGCGCGTAGGAACTGTCCGTGTAGGTCACCAACGAGGTATCTCCTCCGCTTCTGAAACGGAGCTTCCAGGAGCGGGTGTAGTTCAAATACGCCATGGCTTTGCGGCCAATAAGTCCAACTCGGGCCGGGTCCCTCGTGGTGAGACTCGACATCATACTCACCACGTAGGCCAGATCTGGCCTACACCTCTGGGCCAACCAAGCCAACTCTCCGGTCAACGATTGGGCCAGCTTGAGGTCGTCGTGGGCGTACTCGTTCGGAAAAGCGGTCGAGTCCAAACTCATCCATTCTCTCATAGCTGGCAGCAGGGATTTCTCTTCCGCTCGCACTCCCCGATGACGAAGAACTTCCTGGAGGTACCCCTCCTGGTCTAAGGTATACCCCAGCATCTCGTCATTCTCAGTCACGTCAACGCGGATTTCCATCCCTAAAAACCTCACCGGCGTGGTAGCGGAAGCGTACTGACACGGAGTGGTTTCCCATGTCGAGGATAGCCAACCAAAGACCTCTTCGCAGACACTCGTCTCGCCCGTTATGAAGAAGTCGTCTACATAGACGATGATAAGTCCCACGACTTGGCCGGACTGGTCCACCACCCGCCATACCTCCGGATCAGCCACCCCTTGCTCAAACGAGAGGCCTGTGGCTGTTCGCGCCTGCTTCATGATGCGGGTGCGATGGGTTCCCCACCATCTTGGACTGGTACGAAAGCCGTACAAGGCCATATGTACGGACCATAGTTCAGACGGAGCTGCCAGCCCCGCCTTGACCAACACCGCCGGGGGCCGCAGTGCCAGAAGAGTTCCCTCAGGCACCGGTGCACGAAGAAACGCACTCACCACATCGCCGGTGCAGATAGCCCAATTGCGCCTCGCTGCCTGGGTGACGCCTAAACGAACTGCCTCTGCTGCTGCGCCCCCCGAGTAGTTCTCCTCCGCCGCATCCTTAGGCTGGAAGTTGCCGCAGCCGACGATCCTCGCCTTTCGTCGGTACTTCGCCCCCTCCTTGGAGGGGGGCTTGACGGTGTAGACAGCCTTGCCTGGCACCACTTGTACCCCTGGTTGAGACAGGAAGTCTTTAGCCTCCTGATCCACCAGGCGCTTGATTGCGCCTATGTCCTCCAGCACCTTCATTTCGGCCTTGAGGGCCTCAATCCACTTCGGAAGATGTTGGTCGACCTCCTTCGGGTGGACCGTATGAACAACCCTTAGCTCATCCTCCAATCCATCCAACAAGGCCTCCACGTTGTGGGTGTACAGGTTGTCCGCTGCCGCCTTTGCGCAACGAGCCACATCTTCATCTACCTCCACCAACGAGTCTCGTTGCCCAAAGTCTCGCACCATGGTTTCCTCATCCACCTCCCACTGAAAGTTGGCGGTCTCCTTATCAATCTCCATCCTGGCCCGCTTCACCAAGAACTCCTCGTCGTTCATATCCGGAACCTGGAACCCCTCCTCTTCCAGCTTGATAAGCTCTTCACCCTTCAGCTTCTTCCATGAGCCGATAGTGTGAGCAGCAAGCAACAGTCGAGTTCCTTCGCTGGGCTGGACCGCACAATGAAGTCGATCGGGCCTCACTTTCGCCTCAGTCTTTAGGCTGTAGAACTGGCCCGGGACTTCCTTGCCTTTATAGTCCATGGGCATATAGGTACCCTCGAAAGAATCTCCTTGACGTAGTTCTTGCCAAATTCCAGCATCCGAAGTTACCTCCAAAGGGATCACCAGGTTATACGTTCCACGATCATTGTAGCTGTCCTTGTGAATAGGCATACATGAGTTCCGGACAATGGTCACCGAGGTGAACACTTCTTCCGGGTAGGTTAGGGAAACCAACTCAGTGATCTTCTTGGTTAACTCTGGGTTCTCCTTAGTGGCATTGGTAACACCCACAACACCACCATGTTAAAACGCTCCCAGGGTTATATAGCCATCCATGGGTTGGGGTTCTCCTTGAGCAAGTAGCTGCGGCCTCTTCACCCCCCCTTTGAGGCAGCCTGTCGTAACCAGATGAAGAACTTCCTTACGCAAAGCCTTCCGTTTCTCCTTTAAGTCTTTCACCGACAAAGCGCGCATCTTCAAGCCGTCTTCGTCCACCGCGGTCTTCTCTCGAAGCCTTCTGCGAGGGGGAAGGTCGACCACTATCTCAGGTTCCTGAGCAATCGTCCCAGGATCCACCAACTTTGGTCTGAGGTGGGTTGATACTGTAAACCTGTTCGTGTCCTCCTCCAGGATCGCCGAGCCTTGGTTCACATCCCACACCGGCCCCATGTAGATCCCCTTGACCCATCGCGGTAGTAGATCAAGCTTGCCTCCTTGTCCATAATATTTTTTCTTGATGGCCACCTTAGCGCCATAGGCTGCAGGAATGTTGGGGCTCTCCGGTCTCAAACGCTCTTCCCTCTGCCTGTGGGCCGCCGTAGCCATTGCTGTAGACCAATGCTGAACTCCAAGATCCGCTGACCTCAAAAGGGATCTCGCACGGCCCTTTAAAAAACGAACAGCTCGCTCAGCAGTCCCGTTGGCTTGTGGTGCTTGCCCTTCCGTCCTCGTCAGCAAGATGTTGTTGTCCAGGGTCCATTGCCTCAGTGCCTCCGACCTCATCTCGTGGGCTCGGTCTGCATGGATTCTAACCACTGGCAAATTCTCCATTCGCAGTTGCAACACTATCTCTTGTATCGCCTTCAGGACGTGCTTCCCACTCTTGCCCTTCAAGGGTTTAAAGTAGTAGAGGAAATCCATTGGTACTTCATGGTTTCCATGTTCGTCTTGAGCTTCCCGTGCTTCCTTTTCCTGCTCAATGGCGGCGAAGTCGTCATCATCCCAGAGGCCTTTGGTGTCGCCAACCTTCCGCAAAACCGGTTCCAGATCCTCTTCTGAAGGGGAGTACTGATCATCTTCCCCAAGTAGTGCAGCTTCGTCTGGTGAATCAAAAACTCCACCTCCAAGAACATCGTCAGGTTGAGGAAGGTCTGCGTCGAGGTTCTTGAAGTCGTAGTCATAGGCCGCAAGGTCCTCCGGGGAGTGTTCCAGCGGGGGCTCCTGGTCCTCAAACTTTGGTTTAGTATAAGAAGCAGCCAGGAAGTACTTGTAGCCAGAGCCGTGAGCATCTTTACTCACCGCACGTAAGGGCCCCCCTACATCCACACTCAACACATAGCAGCTCTTTTGTTTGACCCTCCGATGAGGTCGTCCGGTGCCCAACATCATCACACACTGTTCACAGTCACGACGAAAAGGAACATGATCTCGTAGAATGTGAAGTTTCCAACCTTGTTCCTTCGTGAGCTTTCGTAGTTCAGTTGTTTCTCCACCAGACTCCCTCTCTGCACCATCACCCAGCCCCCTTTGTCGCACTCCGTCGTAGACAGCTCGTCGTAGCCCTGGGCACCACACTCGGGGAGGAAAACCAGGATCTTCATCAGGTCTTAGGTGGTTGGGGCGCTCGTCCTTAGCCCCATGTAAAGTTTCCAACCCAACATTGTGCAGAATTCTCATTGAGGCTGTTGACGGATGTCCCAAAACACCTTGGTCGAACTCGCTGCAACGCACTCCCACGTCCGCTGCCACCTCACCAAATTTACGAACCATCTCCGACTTCCAAAACGCCTGGCTTGCCACGGGAGCTCCAACCGCTATCCGAGGTTCCACGTCCCCGTTTGCAGTGTAGGAAACTAAGTACAGGAAGAGGGTCTTGGCAAGCATCTCCTGATCCTTTTCGAAACGGGCTTCATGACTGGCCTTCGTGGTGAACTCGTCGGGGAGCTCAAATCCTCTGGTCGGAGGGGAAGCCACCACTGCCTTCACCCTTGAGTTCATGGCTCCCCACAATAAGGCCTTGTACATCTCGCCCTGCAAGTTCCATCCAGCCGACAACGTCACATCTACATTGAGGACCACCGCTTCGCCTTGGGACTGAGTTGAGGTTGCGCCCGAGAGCGCCTGGAGAGGATCCTTACGCTTGTCCCCTCCCGCGAACAAGTTCAGCACCCAAGTTTCGGACCTGAAAAGTCGCTTTCGAACTCGACGAGGAAGAGGCAGAAGCTTCAGGTACTCCCATCCGGCCTTCCCTGACAAGTCAATCTCCGGGGCCATGGCGACTCTCGCCTGATTGGAAAGTTCATTGAACATCGGCGCCAAGTAAATAGCTTGCAATCCATCCACCGCTGCGCCTTGCTTGACATACTGGGCCAGCATCATTCGCCAGTCCGAGCTCCGTTGCTGCATCATTCGAACCGCCGTGAGTTGGTCTTGTAGCTGCTGGGCCTTTTCCTTTAACTCGGCAACCTTCCGCATTTCCAACTCCGCAATAATCGCTGCAGCTTGCCCTGCATCGGTAATTTCAGGGCAGCCCGACCGGACCTTTGTCTTGATCCGACCATGGCGTGGGTGATGAAGATGAAACCCCGCCTTAGTCCACTTCAAGGTGCAACCCAAGCATTCGATGACCTTGCCGAAGGGGATGATGGACTGCACCACACCGGCATCCGCGTCACCTACCAGTATGCTTCTGCTCGGGGTCTGGTCCAACAGCTTTCGCTCATCACCTGCCAAAGTCACATACACCTGCTGGGTCTTGGACTTCTCTTCCTCATCTTTGGCGGGCCTTAACACATGCGTTGAGCCCGAGTCCAACAAGGTCCCCCTCTCATCCTCTTGGTTGATTGAGGAAGTCCTCATCGCATTGAGTTGGACCCCTTTCAGCTCCTCTTGCTGCGGGACTTGCCTTGGTGCCCTTGTGGTGGGACCTTCATAGCCGCCATCAACTGTAGCTCCAGCCTCGCCTTGTCCTGGATCCACCCTCAAAGCCTTCAAGCGAAGCTCATCCAGCTGCTTCTGTATGGACTCGTACGAAGGTGCTGAAGAGGAAGCGGCTGTTGAGGTTGATTCCCCTTTTGCCAACATCGACTTTAGCATCCGTGAAGCATCAGCCAGCATCTGCTTGATTTCTTCAGGTCGTTCTTCCTCCGGGGCATCCTTTGTCCTTGCAGCTGAGGGGGACGACGTAGGTGAAGGTTCCGCTGCTGGCTGCGGCGACGTTGGTGCCGAGGAAGTACTTTCTGGCGCCGTGGTAAGCGATCTGGTAGCCGGCGTGGTAGAGGAGGAGGAACTCTGCGCGCCTTCCTGACGAGTCTTTACCAGCTTAGAGCTCGCCCCCTTCTCTTTCACCGGGCAATCCTTTTTCACATGCGCCGTGCTCGAACATACCAAGCAGCGCCCAGCTTTGGGGGTGGTTCCCCAGTCGTGGCTGAAGGTGCAATCCACTCCTCGGCGACATCCTGAGTCTGTCTTCGCGAACCACCGGCAGGGTTTCTCCTTCTGGGGGCTCGCCTTGGGTTTCGCAGTCGCAGAGGAAGAGGCCGCTGTCGACGAGGCGCTCTGGTCGGTAGTTGTAGCGCTCCTCACCTTGGGCCCAGGACTTGGTTTTGCCACAGTAGAGGCGGTAGCAAGCAGCTCCATCTCTGCTTGCAGATGCTTATAGAAGTCCAAGGTGGTCTCCTCAGTCGGATTGCTGTCCAGCTTTAGCTTCTGCCTAACCATTGAGGTACGCAGCCATACATCTTGATGTCGCGAAAGAACTCCCGAGACTATGTAGCTGAGCCCCTTTATCATCAACACCGGGTCCGGCACCGCCACGGTCAGGTCCTTTGCTCTCGCATGCCAACGCCCCCACCGTCGAACACCACGAACAGCTTCCTCAGCAGTGTTGGCAACCTCGGGGCTGGTGAGTTGTTGCAGCAAGAGAGTCTTCTCTTTCTCCCCTCCTGGTCTGTATACCGTGAGGAGCTTGAAGATCAGGCTTAGGGTGCTTCCAGTGACCTTCTTCGTAATCATCTCACTCTTGACCTCCGGGGTTAAGGCTGCCAACACCATCCCCGCCGCTCGAGCATTCACCCTGCCATAGCGCCCTTGCTCAAGCGAGGCATTCTTTGGCATCGCCAAGGAAATTTTCTCCAGCGGTGTAGACTTCACCCACTTTCTGTAGTGTTCCTCCGCGTAGTCCTTGACTTGTAGCCACCACTCCCAGCTGGAATCACTGAGATCCGTCATCACACTCCCAGCCTCTTCCAACCAGTCTTGTATATCCACTGGGCTTGTGTCTTGGCCTGGCTGCGATAACGAGGGCAACGAGGAGATTCCAGGCTTAACCACCTCCGGAACATCAGATTTCTTTTCCAACTGACGAAGTTGCGCATCTTGCAGCTGTTTCATGCCGGTGGCGAGAATTCCCAGAAGCTCCATGGTCGAAGGGGTAGAAGAGGACTGCTCCGCGGGGGGCTTTGGTCCCGAGGATCCCTGAGTTGCCTCTGGTACTTCGGCTTCCACCGTCGTCTTCGGCAAAGACTCTCCCAGTGCCCTATCGCCTTCCAACAGGTCAAAATACTCGGTGGTACCCCCAGACTGCTCGACGCCTTTTCTAACGCCATGCACGTCCTGACTCCTACCGACCCGATCGCCTCCTGGTACGGTGTAATGCACCGTTGTAGCCCGATCACCTCCTGGTACAGTGTAATGCGCCGTTGTAGCCCGATCACCTCCTGGTACATCGTAATGCACGCTTGTAGCCCGATCACCTCCTGGTACGGTGTAATGCGCCGTTGTAGCCCGATCGCCTCCTGGTACATCGTAATGCACGCT